TGGTACACCGACCCCTACATTGTTGTTTTCCCCATGAAATCCAAGACCTTCGTTGTCATGGACAGGTGCATTTTGCGAGTTTGACATGTTTAATCCCGAGAATCAATAATTCTTGACAAGAAAAAGTGTAAAAATAATGTGTGTTATGAGAATCAGTAATGAAATAATCACTATTATCTTTAGCCCCACGGTGGGCGCCAAACTGTTTACCTCAAAAATACGAGTAACAATTAAATTTGATTTGTGGTTTTAAAGATATTTGATTTAGTATAATACCAATTAATAATCAAGAAGTATAAAGTATAAATGAAATAAATAAGTGAATCAAACCAGTGTTACTTAAGCACTACCGACGTCGAGCTCAGTGACCTCGAGATGAATCAAGAACAATAAAGTTAAAGGACAATTCTGATGAACAAGGAGCGAAAAGTAGAGTGTATATTCTTTGCCAATGATTAGATGATCTTCACAAATGATTGGGGTCCCCTTTATATAATAGGGGAGCCCTAAATAAGGTACATTTCCATTTACAGTAAGGAATCTTATTGGGACAGCTGTCTAACCGCCTAGTACGGAATCGTACACACTACTAAAAAATCAGGTTTTAGCGACGGACAAATTCTGTAGCTAAATAGAAAAATCCGTCGCTAATCTGATTTAGCAACAGATTTCTGTTAGCTACGAGCGTTTTAGCGACAGATTAGCGACGGCGTTAGTAGCTAATTCCAGTTTTTTTTGTAGTGACAATTCTATGCTAGGATTTGCGCGATTTTGGGGACGTGGCAGGAATCTCGCTCATTCTGTTACAAATCCATAACGATATTATTTTGGGGTCGATCATACTCGGCTTCGGTATTCATCGTACTTCAATCTTTGGGCATTGCACTCTGCCTTTGAGTTCGAACTCGACCTTACCCGAACTCGGGCCTCAGGCTACCCCTCGAGCCTGAAAAATCGAGCATACCTGATTTCGACCGTATACAGTGTTCTTGTAATATACAACGGAAAAGAAAAAAAAATTACAATATGTTCATAATAGAAAGAGCTTAGTCCTTAAAAAAAATCAGAAGGTAAGATTGGGGCATTATTGGGCTGTGGTTCCTATATAGATACTTTTTTTGGTAATAAAAGATAGTATTGCATTAAAACAAAATAACGTACACAAACATATTACATAAGAGGGAGCTGATTTAAGGGGGGTCTACTGAAACATCATACATGAGGTTTGTTGCATGCCTAGGGGGTTCTAAGGTAGGTGCTAAAGACAAAAAGGAGTCTACATTACTAGGGGTTACAAGAGTAGTTGATATAGTTGTTTGACGAGTCTGAGGGTCTCCGATTGCAGCTGGAGATACGCGTCTGGGAAGACCTGGTCCATTAGTATCAGCATGCAGTAGATCCAAGACAAAAGAGGGCTCCTCTGAGTATGTGTTTGTGGTGAAAGTTGTTGGTGAGTCCAAAAAGTGCTTTGATAATTTATCTGCAACCATGTTCTGCTCCCAATATGCATGCTTGATCAAGGGATTACCTAGTTGTTGAAGAATGGATCTGCAATCATTTAACAAGTGTAAATAAACAAGGTTGTCAGTATGTAATAAAGATATGATCTCTATGGAGTCAATTTCTACTTCCAAAGGGGTTAGCCAGTGCGTCGAAGCTATTTTCAGTCCATGCAGCAGAGCTAGAAGCTCTATTTGAACGGTAGTTGTGTGGAAAGTGCAGCCTGAGAAGCCCACTTTCCAATTGCCTAGAGAATCTCGAATAACACCACCATAACCAGACGAAAAGCTTGAAGAACCAGTCACACCATCTGTGTTTAGTTTTAAAAAACCTGCAATTGGTGGCTGCCATTTTACATACAAAGGGATTTTGTTAGGTACAAGTGGACTATTTTGTCCAAGGTTCCTGAGCTGTACTCAAGAGTGAGGGGAGGTTGACATAATTTATAGAATGCTCAAATATAGTTTTATTTCGAGTTTTCCAGATGTGCCAAAGGCAGAAAGGTATAAGTGTTGATGGAGGCAATGCCTGCAATGGAATATCGCCTGTCTCCATTATGAAACGTCTCAGCCATGGATTAGGCTCAGTATTGTTATGACTGGGAGGAAAAGAGGGAATGTTGATATGGAGCTGGGACCAGAGAACAAGTGTTGTGTGACAGTGGAAAAAAATATGTGGAATAGTCTCTTCAGTATTAGTGCATATGGGGCATATAGGGGAGGGAATGCTATTGAGATGATGTAGGTAGGAGGTTGTAGGGAGTCAGTTATGGCAAGCAACCAAATAAAATGGATAATTTTTGGTGGGAGTTTCAACCTCCATATCCATTGGAATGATTTGTTATTTTGAGGTTGATGGAGAGTTGCGTGGAGAGATTTTACCGTGAAACGGCCATTAGTAGTGAGTCCCCATATAATGTGATCATAAGCATTTAAGGTGTGTGGAAAATACACACTGAAGAGATTGTTAGTGAGAGACACTGGTAGTACAAAGGAGAGGGAGGAGATATCCCAAGCATTATTAGGACGGTAGGGGGCAATATAGGCAGTCATTTCTTGGGCAATTAGTGGTCCTTGAATTAGTTTCCTAAGAGGTGTATTTGGTTTTATCCAAGAGTCATGCCAGAAGTTGATGTGCCTTCCCGTAGCGGGTTTCCAAATGATGCCATTTTGGCAATAATGCCAGCCCAGTTTGATGTTGTTCCAAGTAATGGAAGATTTGGATCTTGGTTTCGACGGATTGGCATATTTAGAAATAAGGATAGAGGCCTAATAGGAGTTTGGGGATTGAAATAAGCGCCAAGCAGTGCTAGCGAGTAGGGCTTTGATTCTTTTCTTTTAGTCGATGAATACCTAATCCGCCTTCATTTTTAGAAGTAGTAATTTGATTCCAATTAAGGAGGTGGAGTTTCCTTGTAGTAGTGGTTGAACCCCAGAAGTTCCTTTGGTATTGATTTAATTTATGAAGAATGGATGTAGGTATTTTTGCAAACTGCATGACATGTGTTGGAATCAATTTAGAGTGGATTTTATGAGGGTGGCTCCACCTGCTTTGGATAGGAATTTGGTTTTCCAGCCCGCTAGTCGTGCCTTGAAATTGTCAAGCAGAAATTGATAAACTGTAGTGGTAGTGCGGGAAGTAGAGATAGGAAAGCCTAGATATTTCCCAAATGTTGAACCCTCGGCCATGGCCATGTTAAAGGAAGTCAATACAAAGTTCTTTGGTTGAACGTCAAGAGGCCGATAGATACTTGGTTGAACGTCAAAAGGCTGAAATGTGCATCATATACCTTGCACTTGATATTTTTCAACTAAACCAGTTACTACTCCCTCCGGTTCAAAATAAGTGATTTTTTGGCCTTTTTCTTGTGGTCCAAAATAAGTGATTTTTCCAGATTTCAAGAATGAATTAATTATTTTTTTCCTACATTGTCCTTGGAGTAAATAGTGTTGGAATATGTGTTAGGAGTATTTATGAGAGATAGTAAAGGTTAATATGGTCAATTCCATTGCTAATTAATGCTAAAAGGTGGATTTCTTAATCTGTGTGAAAACATCCAAAAAACCACTTATTTTGGACCGGATGGAGTAATATTTTTCAACTAAACCAGTTAAAGAACTTCCTACTTTTGCAGATTTTATTTATGAGTTGGGTACAATTCAAAAAGAGAAAGGATAGGAAAAAGCACAACCTCTATGAAATTGCAGAAATGCTTGGCCAATTTTCCAAAGTGTGCACTTTTGGCTAATATAATTCCGGTGCTGTATTGTTTTTAAGGAAATACAAGAATTATGTAAAACTTATTAATAGGATGCGACTTAAGATAGACGGAAACAATAAAAGAAAGTCGTTGACAATTACATCATGCGACTTATAAAATGTAACTTGTAGACCGCATTTTGATTGCGAGTTGGGTCCTAATTGCGACTTATAAATCGCAGTTGCTAATTGCAACTTGATTCGCCAATTCCGACTTATCAATTCTTACAATCACAATCGCGAATTATAAGTCGCATTGTCATAAAATTAATGCGGTTTTTTATAAATCGCATACACTGATTGCTCTTAAAGATCACATTCAAATTGCGACGCATCTTATTGTGACTTATACGATTTTACAAGTTACGACATAACGTCGACTTGTAAGCATGGACAAATGCAACTTAAAAGCGATCTATGAACTTACGTCATTTGCAATTTAGGCGAAAAATTAAGCTGCTTCGCAATCAAAATCCTCACTGAAAAGTTTTTGCTGGCTTTTAATTTAAACAACAAAACTTGGTATCATGTTTCTCTGTTTAGTTTTAGCATCGGACCATAATGTTTTAGAAATTTGGGTTTAAGTTATATATACTGGTGTGTAAAAAAGCTTTTACACTAATAGAATCATCTATTATTGTGGATAAATTTAACCTGCCAATCTATAATTATTAGTGTAAAGAACTTTACCTCGATTGAATCTGGCTGCTAATATGACATGGCACCATATGGCAAAGAGTAGTATATGGAGTTATTAGCCTGAAGCTAAAGGGACAGCAGGATGAAGAGTTGGAGATTCACCATTGATTCTTGTTATTCAACAACCTAACCTTCTGAGGTGATTCTATTCGCCCGCCCCCCTAGCTCTGCCCATGCTTGTGCATAAATGAATTCGACGGACCTTTTCGATAGGTTTGGCGCGAATGTAAATTAGTCGGAACAGTAAACTTCAGATACCAGATGGTTATACTGGAAAGAAGAAAAAAAAAGGACTTGCTGAACCCACAAGGCATGCCACAAGCCAACAATTATAGCACTTGGGTTGGAGTATCAATCCAGCACCAGCCTTTCTTTTGACTCTGACAATGTAGTAGGAATATATATAAGGTTGAATATTTTAGAGCAAATAAATAAAAAATACACCATGACAATACCCATGGCAACTTGTATTTTTAAAGAAATCTACAATATTGTTTATAAATTTTCTGGCCATCGACATCAGAAAAGAGAAGGAACTATAATTACCGATTACATCAGAATTATTTTCTTATATATTTTCTGGTTGCAACTTAGTGCAACACATTTACCATTTACAAAAGCAGACATATGTAGGAGCATGCACATCCATTTAATCAGAGGGCATGCATGCCAAAACATATGCTATTAATTAATCTGTGATCGCGACATTAATTATAACATGATACTTGATAATACAAAAAAGCAGTAAATATGATGCCTTTTTCACCAGAAATCGCCTAAAGAAGAAGAGCTCGAAGAATCGAGGAGTGAAACTCTTTGTCTCTTGCTTGACAGTGTACTTCTCGAAGAGAACTCCTCAGAGGCATAAAATTTATCAAGCACTGACCTCAAAGCCTGACGAACGGAAGTTACAAGAAGCTGGCACCTTTCATTATCCTCAGTATTCCCTTCATCGCCCTCAGTAATCACGAAAACGCTAACCATTCTGTTCCCTAACGTAGCGATCTCTGCCCTTACAGTTTTTAGGGGGAGAGTATCCAGAGCTTGTCGCAGATCAGAAATAAGCTCATGCTTATATTCACAGCACAGAGATGCTTTGACAGAATAAGTGGCTCTGCCAGATCCCTCTGCTTGCTGTTCGACACATACTTCATCGATGTCTGTTGGAACTAGAACACCTTTGGTAGCTTCTGCTGCATTCACTCTCAAATCCTTTATGTGACTGATGACTTTGGCAAGTAAAGCGGCCTTATCCATCTATAATATGAAATGAAATTCAGCTTGAATTAAACTCAAGAAACTCCAAAGGGCATCTATAATAGTGATGGCACTAAAATTGCTGCAACTTCATTCATCATTATCAATAGGTTAAGTAATCTTAAATATGTTAGGAGTAACCCACCCACCTTTACTCCTCTTAAACATACAAGTAATGCATATAACAATGAGTTTAAATACCAAGAAAAAGAATACAGTAGGGGTATTTATGATAGACATAAGATGGATGAAACTAGTCCTGTTCTTATATCTTTCTTGGCCTCTTGGCTAAGATCAAGGTTCTTCTAAAATACAGCTGTGTATAGTAATCTGGCATAATTAGAAATGTGTTTCATGCAAAATCAAACCAGATTTCTAAAACCATTTATCTAATATTGCTTATCATAAAACTAGTGGCAGCCCCTCTTTCCAAGAATAGGGAAGCCCCAAATCCCGAGACTTAAGTTACAGAACTTAGACAGCCTGGTGCACTAAGCTCCCGCTATGCGGGGTCCGGGGAAGGGCGGGACCACAAGGGTCTATTGTACACAGTCTTACCCCTGCATTTCTGCAAAGCTGTTTCCACGGCTCGAACCTGTGACCTCCTGGTCACAAGAGGCAGTAACGTTTACCAGTTACGCCAAGGCTCACCTTCTAGTTACACAACTTAGGATGCTGAGAAATCGTAACAAAGCTCGAGCGTAACCTTATTAATCAAATTTTCATGTCTTTAGCCCTCTAATGTTTATATCATAGGCCGCAGGCAGTATAGTACAGTTCACATTCAACTGCAAAGAACAATGAACTGCTAACTCCGTGACACGCCAAATGTTTCTATTAATTGATTATATTAGTTAAGCCAGAGCTGCATAACAATCGAATCAATCAAAGAAATCACTTAACATCTAAAGTATAGTACATAAAAAGCACAATAGTCTCCTCTTCTACTTATAATTCAATCTAAGGACAACTCTGGGACTGCTTTTAGTTCTGCTCAAGCTAATTTAAGCTTATCAATATCTTCACAAGTTTCATTATACATCAAGAAATCCCTCTTCAAAATAAGAAAATATAACAGCTGACAAAGTTTGATTGTTGAAATAAAACAAACTAAATAAAGGAAATTACCTTATTAGTGCCAGGAATAAGGTTTCTGAGAGTACCCAAATGACCATTAATTCTCTCTCTGCGCCGCCTTTCAGCTTCACTATGATTTTTCAATGCAATCAAAGCCTTTTCTGGATTAACCCCTTTTTCCCCTGGTCTCACCATTGCCTTCACTAACTCTCCTCTTTCATTATCCAAAATCAATGATGAAGATGAAGTTGACCCATTTGCTATCATCCCCTGAAAACCATAGTCCTCACAAAATCCATTACAAGAATTGAAAAACTCCATCTTTTTTTCCTCTCCAAAACACACACTTAAGTGTGCAAAAACACCAACTACGTACAGTCTACAGCTTAATGTTAAAGAAGAAAACCAGGTGGACGGTTAGTTGGTGATGACCAAATAGAAATTCTTCGACTAGGCTTGCTTATTATTTCAGTTCCACTACAAACTGGAACTTCCATCACTAAAAAAAACTACTAACTTTTTTGGTTATTGACAAAGTTTCTGACCAAGAATATATGTAACATTGAAAATTTTCTTGTATTCAAACATTATTGGAAAATTTGTGATAAGCCAACTTCCACTTGCAAGATAAACAGAGAGATTTTGAAGGGGTCCCTTAAATAGAAGAGGTAGACAGAAAAACTGAGTGACACTTTAATTGATAAGACAGTCACGGTATAATAGTTGGTTTTGGCAATTACTCCTATTTAAACCCTAAGTTTTTGCCCCACGACTGTACAACAGTCTAATTCACAATAATATAAAAAGAGCTAAAGGGACAGCAATGACTACCGAATCATATAAAATTTTGTAATGTTCCAAATTAAAATCTTAGAACGGTAGCTGTCTGTGACATTTAATATTAAATCTTCTTGCAAATATTGACATGGCAATCTGATGCACTAAATTCTCGCTATGCGCGGGTTCGAAGAAGGACCGAACCACAAGATTTATTGTATGCAGTCTTACGAAACTGTTTACACAGTTAGAACCTGTAACCTCCTAATCATATGACAGTAATTACCCCAAGGTTCCCCTTTCAACTATTGCATGCTTTTTCTAATTTTCTTTTTGGATATACTGAGAGGGAAAAAGAAAAGGGGCAAAAGTGCTATATGTGAAAAGAATGTGCTAGTGATTGAGTGAACCTTCAGAGTAGTTTCAGTTCAAATCTTTTGTTCCTTTATAAATTAAAAGGAGTCCTCTTTTTTCCTTTATTTTGTCGTTTACCCACTAAAAAGGAGTAATTCTTTTTTAAGAGAAAGCTACTGTTATATTTGTTAACTGTTTAGCATTCAATTTTTCAACCTATTGCTATTTGCTCACATCTTAGTTTTACCTACTATTTGATTCTTCTAGTTGATCAGTCTTTTCTATAACGATGCCAAGAACTGTACCATTAAACGGTGCGATAAAAAAATTCGTTTTGGGTCGTTCTTCAAAAATGAAGAACATTTTGGTAGATTGCGGCATTATTTAGCATGAAGCAGAATTTGTCGAACCAGTGAGCTATTGATATCCGATGGTCAAACCAAAAAAATTAAGAACTGCAGCCAAAAGTGGTGAATTGATAATTTTATATAGAAGCTTATGTTAAAAGGTTTAATTGCCAAAATCTGTGAAGTTTCTTGGCAAGTTCTTGACTCACAGCACTTCCTCTTTAAGGAGTTCGGAACCTTTTTATTGTCTTTTTGGACAAATGTGACGTTAATGAGTGTAAAAAAAATGTTACTTTTCTATATAAAATGTCGAAATTCGCCGTACTATACCTTAACGGTAACTTTTGCCGTTAAGGTATAGCGCAAGGAATAAGTGCGATATACTTTTTAGCGCCGGAAATTTGTGCGCTATACTCTAACGACTTGACTGCCAGGTATAGCGCGTGGAATTAAAACGCTATACATATATAGCGCCTGGAATTAAAACGCTATACATGTTTATGGGCCCACCAATAAGTTAACTGACATAACAATAATTCAAATGTGTATAGCGCACATTCAAAGAGCGCTATACAAAAAAAAATTTAGCCCCCCGGTCTAGCCATTTCCTATATAAAGGGGTTAGGATTTTAGGAAAATCCATTTACAAAAAATTCTAACTCTCGTTCAAAATTTTCTTCTTGTTAAATTCTCAAGCATTTTTTCATAATGTCTGAAGAGCGTAGAATAAGAGTTTCATTATATTGGGGGGTGAGATTGTGATGGAAAATAACTCTGTGAGGTACAGTTTATCTCCACAGAGTCCTGTTAAATTACCACTTACAATGGAGTACGATAAATTGATATCGTTGTTATGCAAAAAAATGAGTGTGAGGAAACGTTCAGTGATACTTAAAGTAACCGGAAGATATCTAATAAATGATGAAAAGTGCATATTTTTGAGTATATTTGCATATTAATTCTTGTGTGTGTCGCGGGAGATTACATGATTTTTAAAGTGAAATATACTCATTATGTGTTTCTTATGTGTAGGAACGAGTTTGGATGATAAATGATCAAAAGATGACAATTCGACATAAAAAGAAGAAATTAAAGGAGTGGGAGCTCGTCTATTCTCGTGCGTGGCACGAAGTCGGACGCGAAAAAGGAGAAAAGTTAAGGCACAAAACAGCGAAGCAAAGGCACGGAGCGCTTCGCGAAATGGAAGAATTTCAAAAGCTGGATCCGCGTCTAGACGCGAAGACAAACGCGGATCCGCGTCAAAGTCCGCGTCTAGACGCGAAGGCAGACGCGGATTCCAGCTCTCCCATCCGAAGTTTGATTGAAGAATTCCGCCCCTCATCAACCCTAGGTCATATAAATACATCCTAAAATACCACTTTGAAAGGAGGAGACACTACTTTAGGGTTAGACAACACCCTTGGAGGCAAGAACACGCGTGATCAAATTTTGGCGCCGCCGCCGGGGAACTAACGGTGTAGTTGTAGCTGTATATATTGCTAGGGTTCAAGTTTGAACTTTTATTTTGTTTTATTTTTTCTTGGTATTTCTTTTATTACTGTTGATTTGAGAAACATGACATCTTGGAATTATGGGAATTTAGGTGTAGATAATTCTACTATTGATCTCCATACATATTGTAAAGAAAACCACCCGTGGCAAAATTTTCAAAACGTTCCTGAGAGCGAGTTATGTGCACCAACTCAATCTTATTTGTGGAATGTGTGTGATGTGTGTGGTGGTAAAAATGGCCACCTTCATGGTTGTGCTTATATTTCTTATTTTCCCCTAACCCCTTACTATGATGGTTCTACCTTTTCTTGTGAAGTTAATAGGAACAAAGAACTTGGGAATGCGGACTTGAAGGAAATCAAGGATATGCTAAAGTGCCTTCAAGAACAAAACAATGAGAAACAATTGTACACAAAAAGGCAAGAGGCAACTATTCGCAAGTTGGAGGCTCAATTGAGTCAAGTGGTTGGAGCTTTTAATGCTCAACAAGCCAATATTGAGGATAGTAGCCAAGAAGAGCATGAATTTGAGGTGTTAATTGGGGAGGTTAGAGTAGAACATCAACAACCTAGCCAACCACAATTTGAGGATGTCAATGTTGAAGAAGTAAGACTAGAGCCAGCCAAGGACTTTGAGGATATAAATTTTGTTGACTCTAGTATCACTGATGCTGAGGATGTTGAGAGTCCTGAAGTTCATGTGTTTGAGCGCATTGGTCCACATTTCAAGCATTTTTCCACATTATGTTTGGATGATGATATGGAAATAGAGTCATCTGAACCAATCGAAGAGTCAAGGAATGAGGAACAAGGTGCATATATTCTGGAATTCTTCTTGCCAGAAAGTCAGGATTACATACCTCATATAAAGGCGAAGGAATGCAGAATACTACATTATTTCCTTGGGCCAGTTAGATTCATTCCACCGCCCCATGACCATAATTATAAGCTTGAATCAAAATTGGGGGTTCAATTCATAAGCTCGAGGTGGAGGCAAAAAGTGATTCGCGTCGTGCCGCAACGTTAAATCAAGCGCTTGTTGGGAGGCAACCCAGCTTTATTGCTTTCTTTTATTTATTTATTTATTTATTTTTATTTTTTTAATTGTATTATTTTTGTAGTGTCAATTTTTTATTTTTAGGAGCATGGAAAGCAAAGGTATTGGAAGGATGCAACAGCAAACCAAATGGTTGGAACTAAGTGTGAGGTACTCGCACGAAGGACCAAGCTTGGGAGAAGTCTGAGTACCCCATGAGTTGTTAGTGCTTCGGCCTTTGGCCTACCAGGGAGTCTCTTTTACCCTTTTATTAGTTATGGTGTGCATTGGGGACAATGCACAATTTTAAGTGTGGGGTGAGGAGATTATCTGGGTGATTTTCTATGCTATTTTAGTTGTGTTAGTTTAATTGAATAATTTTTTTTTAAAAAAATAGAAAAGATTGGACTTTTCCCGACGATGGATCTATTAGACAATTTTCTTGAGGGATTTAAGTATAAAAAAAAAGATTTTCTGTTGTTAGGTAGTGTAGCAATTACCCCTTGGTTTTTTTTGTGCCGCGGTTCTTTTCCAAGGGTTTTATTTGAACCGGGTATAGTTAGTTTTTTTCGGGAGTAGGAGCCATTGTGTTGTGTTTTGAATTGAAGCAATATCTCTTGACTTGGTTATGCCTTGAGAATAGTGAGTACTTTGGCTGTGACGCTTAGGCTCAGTTTTTGACTCTTGTATAAGTACCTTAAATTGCATGATCTTAACTTTGCTTAACTGCTTTGACTAGAGTGTCTTGATGAAACCAATCCTGAGTGAGTTATGTTCCATGTGTGTGTAAGGATTTGTTATATTCTGTGCATTGCATTTGATGCCTAGAACTTGCCCCGTGTGTTTGCAAACCGAAATAGTAGTTTTATTCAGTCTAGGAAGTGATATAGGCATTTCTTTGTTGAGCCAGATATGTATATTTTACCCGCCTAATTGTTATGTATCGTAGTTAACCCCTTTGAGCCTGTAATCCTGTTTCTTTGGCAACCACATTACAAGCCTTACCCATTTGTTTGAATGGACTATCTAGTTGAACCTTTTAACCTCTCATAAGTACTTGAATTGTGATGATTTATGTAAAAGTTAAAATGTGGGGTGGTTGGTTTGGCTTTTGAGTGGAACTAATGAAATCAGGAGAAAGGTGCACTGTTTTGAACAAGTAAGAGCCACTTGAATTGAAAAAAAAATATAGTTGTATTGCTGTGAAAAAAAAAGTATTTCTTTAATAAGTGGTGACTCTTGCTGTAATTGTGCTTAAAAAAGTATGGGGTAATATACATTGATGTGAAGGTGGAGTTTGGTTTGACATAAGTATGGGGTTTAAATGTTAAAGTATATGTATTAAAGTGCTTAGGGAGGTGTAGTCACTCTTATATCTAAATGTATCCTACCCGTCCCGCAGCCTACATTACAACTAAATAAAGTCCTACTTGATCCTAGACTGAATAAGCTCGATTAGTAGAGTAGTACGCTACGGGCAAGCCTATGGTGCATCTTTTGTGGCATATGAATGTTATTTCTGAGAATGAGTGAATTCTTTCAATCTTGAATTCCTAAGTGTTCTTAAATTTTATTATGTGGAACTACTCTTTTTGTTGTATGAGGGCACTTGATTCATGAAGGAAAGGTAATGTCAGTGACCTCTATGTTCGAGTAAGTGGGTGAGTTGTGAATAATGCGTGGTACTTATGAGTCAAAT